TAGTAAATGAGAAAGTTAGAGTGAGTTATAGAAGGTACTAGTAAATGAGAAAGCTAGAGTGAGTTATAGAAGGTACTAGTAAATGAGAAAGCTAGAATGAGTTATAGAAGGTACTAGTAAATGAGAAAGCTAGAGTGAGTTATAGAAGGTACTAGTAAATGAGAAAGCTAGAGTGAGTTATAGATAGTACTAGTAAATGAGAAAGCTAGAGTTATAGAAGGTACTAGTAAATGAGAAAGCTAGAATGAGTTATAGAAGGTACTAGTAAATGAGAAAGCTAGAATGATTTATAGAAGGTACTAGTAAATGAGAAAGCTAGAGTGAGTTATAGAAGGTACTAGTAAATGAGAAAGCTAGAATGAGTTATAGAAGGTACTAGTAAATGAGAAAGCTAGAGTGAGTTATAGATAGTACTAGTAAATGAGAAAGCTAGAGTGAGTTATAGAAGGTACTAGTAAATCAGAAAGCTAGAGTGAGTTATAGAAGGTACTAGTAAATGAGAAAGCTAGAGTGAGTTATAGAAGGTACTAATAAATCAGAAAGCTAGAGTGAGTTATAGAAGGTGCTAGTAAATGAGAAAGCTAGAGTGAGTTATAGAAGGTACTAGTAAATGAGAAAGCTAGAGTGAGTTATAGAAGGTACTAGTAAATGAGAAAGCTAGAGTGAGTTATAGAAGGTACTAGTAAATGAGAAAGCTACAGAGTTGCTCTATATGACCCTGTTGGTTTAGCACTAAGTTTTGATTACAATAATAATAATATAGAGCTGCATATAAAATATACTAAAAATAATCAGTCAAAAAATGTAGTAGAGAATATAAGGCAGGAAAGAGTAATAGGAAATTGATGAAGAAAAATATTAGTGGCGAACGGGATATGTATTAACTTAACGCCACAAAAAAAAAAAAGTTTGCAGTTAGAGAAGCTGAGAAAATTTTAGAAACTAAAATGTTTGAGTCAATAAAATAATAGCATAACAGAAGAGCATATTTCGAAACTTAGTACATCTATAAAGCAGTAATGTTTTAGTATTTTAATATATTTTGTACATATACATATTTATAACCTAGCCATACCATTAAGAGGAAAGACATATCATAATTAGGAAGTATATATATGAAGGCCTTTTCAATATTACTTTAAGTTCTACATTTCTATAATCTAAGGTCCCTAGTGGGTTTAGCGCTTCTTTTTCATTATAATAATAATATAATCAAAGGAAAACTCCGCGTAACATTTTATAAGCCAGTCTATGTAGACTGGTCCATAATAACTAATGTATTTTATCTTTTCTCTTTATGATATTTCCATCAAATCCTAAGGGAGACAAAGCTGTTAATTGCTACCGTAATTGCAACACTTTTGCTTTTAATATAATTCACTCATAATACCCTCATCTGAATACACTATCTCATGATTTTAAAGCACTCTACTGACTTTTACTTTTGCTTACATTTAATAACAATAAGAAGAAACAGATTCCATTAACAATGTTAAATCCTCATCCGCAACTAGTCATCAGTTTGGCTTGTGTTGGTGATATTAGTAATACTCAGGCAACTACGAGAAGCCAGATGGTAGGAGAGGGAGTGTGGCAGCCACAGCAGGAGACACCACTTTTGGAGAACACGTGTGTCCATCCTGAGGCCAGACTGCCTGAAGGTCCTGCTGGATGAAGACCAAGCTCCGCCGGAGGATGAGGGGGGGGGGGAGGTGGGTCCTGAGGACAGACTGCTTGAAGGTCCTGCTGGATGAAGACCAAGCTCCGCCGGAGGCTGAGGGGGGGGGGAAAGGTGGGTCCTGAGGACAGACTGCTTGAAGGTCCTGCTGGATGAAGACCAAGCTCCGCCGGAGGATGAGGGGGGAGGGTAAGTGGGTCCTGAGGCCAGACTTCTTGAAGGTCCTGCTGGATGAAGACCAAGCTCCGCCGGAGGATGAGGGGGGGGGGGTTAGGTGAGTCCTGAGGCCAGACTGCCTGAAGGTCCTGCTGGATGAAGACCAAGCTCCGCCGGAGGATGAGGGGGGGGTAGGTGGGTCCTGAGGCCAGACTGCCTGAAGGTCCTGCTGGATGAAGACCAAGCTCCGCCGGAGGATGAGGGGGGGGTAAGTGGGTCGTGAGGCCAGACTGCTTGAAGGTCCTGCTGGATGAAGACCAAGCTCCGCCGGAGGATGAGGGGGGGGGGGGTAAGTGGGTCCTGAGGACAGACTACCTACCTACTTGTAGTCTACCTGGAGGGCATTCAGGGGATCAACGCCCCCGCGGCCCGGTCCACGACCAGGCCTCCCGGTGGATCAGGGCCTGATCAACGAGGCTGTTACTGCTGGCCGCACGCAATCCAATGTACGAACCACAGCCCGGCTGAAGGTCCTGTTGGATGAAGACCAAGCTCCGCCGTTGGATGAGGGGGGGTAGGTGGGTCCTGGAACCCACGTATCCCCATAGATTTGGGGTGTGGTGGGCTTTGGGGAATGGTGGGTTTTGAGGCGTGGTGGGTTTTGGGAGTGGTGGATTTTGAGGCGTGGTGGGTTTTGAGATGTGTGGGTTTTGAGGCGTGGTGGGTTTTGGGGAGTGGTGGGTTTTGGGGAGTGGTGGGTTTTGGGGAGTGGTGGGTTTGGGGAGTGGTGGGTTTTGAGGCGTGGTGGGTTTTGAGGCGTGGTGGGTTTTGAGGCGTGGTGGGTTTTGAGGTGTGTGGGTTTTGAGGCGTGGTGGGTTTTGGGGAGTGGTGGGTTTTGGGGAGTGGTGGGTTTTGGGGAGTGGTGGGTTTTGGGGAGTGGTGGGTTTTGAGGAGTGGTGGGTTTTGGGGAGTGGTGGGTTTTGAGGAGTGGTGGGTTTTGAGGCGTGGTGGGTTTTGAGGCGTGGTGGGTTTTGAGGCGTGGTGGGTTTTAAGGAAACTACTGGGTCAGTTTAGGAATGATGTACTGGTAGTCAGAGGTGAAAACACAAAGCATGTTCGTGATTACAAGACATGATCGAAATATATGATCTAAATACATATGTGATAAAAATGCGATCTGTATACGTACATGTGACCTAGACACATATCTATGGTCAATAAACATATATGTGATATAAATACAATTAAGTAATGAAGAAGGATGGCAGTGTAAAAGTGAGGAATTGGCAGGATAGTTGTAAAATATTTCTGTGAATAAGAGAGATAACGTTAAATCTACAATAACTGTTATGGAGATAACATTAAAATGGTTAAACACTTAAGACTAAAATATGAAGATTAAGATTATTAGTATCATTATCACGGGAAAGCTTTAAACTCGTAGGAGTCAAACGGGTCTGGAGAATGAAGTTAAATTTATACAACTGTTGGGTAATTGCAATCAGCCTTCTTTTGATATACCTTTCATAAGTTTCGAGAGTTGTTCTACTCCTGGAGCCCGGCTCCAGGGTCGTCTGGTCAACCAGGCTGTTGCTGCTGGCGGCCCACTGGCCCACATATCCATTGCAACCTGGTTGATTTGGCATCTGGTGTAGATACTTGTCCATTGTCACAAACTTATAAATTAAATGGACAAATAACTGAAGAATAACAAAATAAAAATCACAGAAAAGGTATAGGACACGAGGGAAGCATATGCCTTGTAGGAAGTGAAGAGGGGGAGGGAAGGGGAAGGAGACAAAATGACAAGGATAAACGTGAGGAAGAGGCGAGAATAAAAGAGGAGGAATGTAGGACAACAAAGATTCCGCTGCCTGAAGGTAGGGAGTGATGGAGTACAGGGTACGGGGGGGGGGGGTACTCCCAAGGGCAGGGAACAGTTGGCCTGCGTGAGGCTGAGATTACCCTCCCGCGTACCTTCTGCTGCTCACCTCCAATGTTACACTACAACTACCTACCACTATGCCGGGGTTTATGCAACCCTTACCTAATTGGGAACTTTTTATTCCTATTCTATTTGCAATATTATTATTATAATAATCAAGGGGAAGCGCTAAACCCGGAGGATTATACAGCGCCTGGGGGGGATGTGGAAGGCATTCAGGCTTAATTTGGAGAACTGGAGCACAGTTCCAATTCCCTAAATCAAGAGCCCCTCACCAACATCAAGGAACCTTCCTTGAGGGGTCTATTTGCAATAGGAACTCCTGATCTCTTTTCTTTCATCACTTAATTCTGGGCAAGCCTTATCCATACATCCAAGAGCAGAGCTGGATACAGCCAAAAGCTGTCAGTGGTTCTTAAAATTCCCAACAACAGCTACTATCACTTCCTTTTCCTCTCTTCCTTCCCCCTCCATTCACATACACATTAGAGGGCATAACACGGGAAGATATAACATACAAAATTCTAAGGAAACGATAGGAGGGTGGACAGGAACAAGCTGTTTGGGGTGGGAAACAAGAACACCAGGGCACAGCTGTAATATAGTTATAATGAAAAGAAGTGCTAAACCTACCAGGGAAATATGGTTATTATATTAAAATTTTATTATAATAATGGAGCGCTAAACCCATAGGATTATACAGCATATGTGGGGGAGGGGGAGATGGAAGGTATCAAGCTCAATTCAGGGAAATGGAGCACAGATCAAATTGCCTAGATGGAGAGAGCCCCTCACCAGTATCAAGGAACCTTCCTTGAGGGGGTTTATAATCAAAACCAAGTGCTAAACCCACTACAGACGAATCACATAAATGTTAGGAAATTTCTCTTCAACTAGTATTTGAATTGATAGCCATCATTGCATCAAATCAGCCTCTCTTGAAAAGCCCAGAGCACATGGTGGTGGCCCCCTGGCGAGGTGTCCCAAGGCATTGATGGGCCACAATCCCCAACCACACTAAGAAGTCTGCCCTCAGGCGTTTGGTGATCAAACATTTCCTCCAGTCAGTTATACCTGCCATTTGGTTTGTTGAGAACTGCAGCCAAGTTAAATTCAAAATTTTTCATCATCTATGTAGTGATGGCATATTGTTAATTTATTACTGCATTTTTTTGATAAGGTTTCACATTTATAAGCATAAAGGATAGAAAAACAACAAAAAACAGTGCTTGGAAACTATTTAATGGTACAGACCAAAACCACCAGACTTAATTTAAACTTTGTCATCTTGTTACTTAGTTGAAATATTCACTCACACTATGGAAGACAAATATTTCCCTTGAAATATTAGAACTTAGTGCACATCTGCAGATACCACAGATGTACCCTGAAGATCACTAAAACCATAGTTAAGTATTAATTAATAAAATACAGTATATCAAATACATGTATAAATACATTTTTACAATGTAATTTATGCTACAATTTTTGGCATAATTTTATGCAATATTTGTAAACTGCAAGGTATAATTACACCAAAAACCTTAATTACCCAGGAGCTACTTAATTATAGTTTAAAAATATCCCACAAAAGCAAATGAAATGCTGGTATTTGAACATATGACCAGGTTGTCCTCACTTTCAATCCTGCTTTCTACAAATTCCCTCACTTCATTTAAATTTACATTTATGAAAAATTTTCAGCAAATGTATCATAACCTGCATGCTGAAGATGCACAGTAAGTAGGTCTGGGATTTTTATTAAAGATTACTTTGTAAATTAAGAAGAACCAGCAACATAAATAACCATACAGAATGACACATTCAAAAGAAAAATAAAACATTACAAAAGCTACTTCTCCAATGTCAATATCACAGAATGGACTATTACTTGTCCATATATCACAACATAACCTTAACTTGTGTTACAACGCCTCTCTCAAACTACATGTATGATGACTTGTAACATTATAAACAAGTTCAATACATCACCAGATATTAAACATAATATACTTGTGGGAAGCAAAAAAAAAAAAAAAGTCGGATACAGCAAATGACTCATGTTTGTAGTGATACATATCACCAGATGGAGATACAGAAAATGGTAAAACCATTTCTTTCCTCACACCCATCAAAATTGGCACTAAAAAATCACAGCAATTAAGAAAGTTTGGCTATCTGACTCTCACATAATGGCATTAAAATACAAAAAAAACTCAACTTTACAAGTCACAATACATTATAATTCACTTACAAAGGTATAACATTAAAAGCTGCTGCTTACAACAGTAGCAGATACAGTCAGACATGTACACAAAGTAAGCCTTTATAAAGAGCAATATTTAGCTCAGTGAATGCCTGATAAAACTCACTGAGTGAAACATTTTTAATAGTCTTTATCTGTGTCCATGTCTCTGATTTACTGTGTAAGCTTGCTGTTTATCTTTCATGTAGCAGGTACACCATATTCAACTGAAGCACTCCATATGTTTCTTCAACAGTTTGTTAGATATTATTTAAAATACTGATATGATAGTATAGAAACTTTAGCAATTATAAAATGAAAACAGCATAGACTAATTAATGCAATACTGTACTGTACTTAGAATTAACTGTGGTGTTGCAAACACAAAAACAATTTTTTTTTTCAAAATAGCATGTGATGTGACTTTGTTATGTTGCAGAGTAGTTGTTTGGAAATTTCTAGGATGTATATATTCTAGATGTACAACCTATTTTAATTTGATTAATGCTCATATACTTTATATAACAAAAAACTGACTACAAGATAAAATAAAAAAAAATTGCACAAGCCAAGGATGATAAATCATTTATCACTATATAACTAATGAGTAAAATATTCAAAGCTATTTACTTGGAAAAAGGAAGCCAATAATAAAAATTACTCAAAAAAATAACAGCTCTATATTAAAGCTAATGATTTACAATGCAAGAACAAAAGATAACCCTTCATGGATCTGTTTCCAATGGATTGAGACAATGCCATCCACATTGTAGTTCTAGACACAGCTTTTTATGAATAAATTACAATATTTTTTTCAACACTACTACTCAGCAGTAGGTAATATATAAGTATTTTAGATTAGTGTTTTCAATACATTAGACATCACCTGATGTAAATGTGTGTTAATTTTTAAGATACAAAATTAGAAAGCAGATGTGCAGCTTTACATATAAAGCATTAAATAAAAAATGTTGCTGGAAAGATAGTTATGGATGCATGTTTTATATCTGACATGATATATACTACACTCAGCCCTCATAAACCATGAATGGACTGGACTGAGAGAAGAGTACTGTACATATGTTCATCTCATGCCCAGGGGACGGATGGTTAAGCCTCCACTACTCCATGTGTTAAATGACCCACACAAGTTTAGTGCTTCATACACTATATAATATAAAATATTGCAGGAAATGGATTCTAAGAAAAAGTGTAACATGAATCCACAACACGTAAAGTCAATTGTTCATAGTGTACGAGGATTAGTTCCCTGAGGTGAAGTACCGTGAACGTAAATGTGGCTGCATTGCCTTAAGTCTGCCTTTACTTTGCTCTAATAGCATTAATACTGAAACTGATTAAGTCATACTCAAATTAAAAGCTGAATATATTATTATTACTCTCCATGGGGAGGTGAAGAAGAATCCTTCCTCCTTAAGCCATGCATGTTGTAAAAGGAGACTAAAATGCCGAGAGCAAGGGCTAGTAACCCTTTCTCCTGTATAAATGACTAACTGTAAAAAGAAGAAAAACTTTATGAAAGCATTTCTTCTTTTTTGGGACACCTTGCCTCAGTGGGAGACAGCGGGTATGTTAAAAAAATTACTATTACAGTATTATTATCATCATTTTCACAGAAAAGGGCTAAACTCATAGAGGTCATACAGCACCTGAGAAATGGGAGGCAATTAAGTTTGATCTGAGGAAACGAACGTTAGCGCCAATCCTTGAATCAAGAGGCTTTCAGGAGATGGTAAGTGAAGCATAGCTTTAATAGAATTAATAATAAAATTTATAACAGAGGAGAACTAAAGAAAAGCATAAGGGGTCCTAAATCCATTAAGCATATTTGTGAATAATTACTGAAATGCAAGTTAGTGATTAATACATAATCTGTAAACCAAAAGAAAATCATTAAGCCATAGTGGACAATACAGTAGGACCCCTGTATCAGCGGGTCCGGTATCCATGGTTGCAGTTATCCACAGTTTACTGAAACCTGAAAATAACCCTTAATTTTGCCTAATAATGGCCACAAAGCACAAAAGTAGTGATGGTGGCAGTTCTTCAAAGTCTAAGAGAGCCATGAAGTACTTACCATCAGTGAAAAACTGCTAATTCTCCACTTATTGTGTGTTATTTATCAATTAAATTTTATCGTAGGTGTGTATGTAAATGAAAAGTGACTTATATAGGGTTCGCTACTATCCATGGTTTTGGGTATCTGTGGTAGGTCTTGGAATGAAGCCCTGCAGATACAGGGGTCCTACTGTAATTTCAAGGAAAGATCTCTAAGCTGATGAGGAATGAGTGTATTAAACAGAGAAAAAAAAGTCACTTTTCTTACCTAAAATAACCAGTGGAAAATGCCACAACCAAAATATTGCACCAGCATTATGTAAAGGTATAAAATTTAACAAAAATTAAGTCAATTTAAAAACATCATAATTGCAATAACATTATATATAAAAGAATATAAACAAATTATAGAAATTAATAAAGTGTGACTACAATGAAAATAAGGATGGATGATTAAACGTGACAATGACTTCAGTATTACTTAAATCAACTGAAGGCCTAATAATTCTTCAGAATACATTGTACAATAATCCTGAAGTGTGAAAAAAAAGGTCCTGTGAATGAGACTAAAGGATAGTGCAGTGTTGTAATATGTAGTGGCAAAATAAGATTGGTGGGATTACTCACTCTCCTTCAGTGCCATTCTAAGGTGGTATGTAAATACACACACTTCTTGTAAACTTCAAGACTACCTGCTGCATTATATAACCAGTCACACCTTCAATCCAATCACAGTCTAATTACACCCTAAACATTCACATATTTTATGATAATTTAGCATAAATAACAAACAAACAATAAAAGATCTTCAGAACATACAAGTCTATGTATAAAAAAAAAAACTATTTAGCATATAACAAAATACTGTACTCAAGAATGTAAAATAAGCACTGCATACTGCTTAATAATATCCTGTATAAAATAGTGACAATGTGTTCCATTGGCAGGTATCCTGTACTAAGATAATAATCTCTCATTGCCATGAATTTTTTAAACCTAAATACGTACTCAATAATTATCGTCTATAAGTACATTACAAAAGTGTTTCAAATAGCAGGAAAGGAAAATAATGAAAGCTTTATTAAAATATTGTAACTACAATCTATTTTGATTATTGTTTAACATGAAGACATCTCAATTTGTCTCACACACTAAAAAATATCTTCTGAAGAAAATATTTCCAATTCTTAACAGTAAGCTGGATACACCAGTTTTATTCTACTGTACTAAAAAGATTTTTATTTCAATCTTTAGTACCTGACGTCAGTTCTCCAGGTTGAGGTCCCTGAATTTTCCAATATGGTTGATATCAATCATAATCAATCTACAAAATCTCTGCATCTAGTAAACCTGAAGGCTAGAAAATTACTGCAAGAAATCATCATTGAAGTACACATGAACAGGAATGTAGAGGACACTATTATGTAACCAAGCTCCAGGATGGTAAGTGAAGTCATATATAAGGTGGATCTGAGGAACCAATTTTTACCTATCAATCCCACTAGAACAGTAGACTCTCCAGCTCATACAAGCTTACCTGTTTGAGGTATACAATGGTATGGTACTGTGGGTAACTTATGGCAAAGAGTTGTGGAAGCTAAATCCTCTGCTAACAGCAACACAGTCTCTTGATGAATCAGGCTGTTCTGTGAACTATGGCACAAAAGGCAACAAAGTAATTTTTAAACCCTAGGTACCTGATTGTGTTATCAAGTATATATAAATGATAGGGTAGTAAAAGAACAAACAGCTTCAAGGGGAAATTTCAATATTTTTCCTTGAAGCCTTTTTAACCTTTTAACAGTGTTCAACATACTACCACACAGGTGATATTTATGTATCCAATGTAAAAGCATGAAAATTTTTCTTACCTCCAAATCTGCAAACTGCCAATATTTTGGACCTCAGCACAACTCTTTGGGTCTTCTACAATCTCTTCATAATTTTGAAAAAATCTAAAGCCAGGAAGGGTCCACCAAGTGTATCATCATTAACTACACAGGTGATGACCGTGTGTCTGGCGTACTTGTACATCTAACTAGTATAAGTAAATAATGAAATCAGGACCTGTTGTTCCACCACTAGCTTCTCTACCAGCAAACAGAGCATGGAAGTGGCATGAAGATGACTTATTCATTCCAAATTTGTTACAATTTCAAGATACTGACTATGGAATTCAGCCAAACAGCACACTAGGTAGATTTAACTCAGGATAACCCAATAAAGTGTACATAGTGTTAAAGATTAAAATCAATTAAAAAAAAAAAATCACAATTTGACGTCAAATTGTAAAACGTAAATATCACTGGAGCATTTATAATGCTGGTGCCAATGAGTGATCATTGTTTTCCCAACTTTAACACACTATAAAACTCATAAGTTTTCATCAGAATCCACTCATTTTTGTGTTATTCAGATAAAAAAAAATGCACTTTCATTTTATAAGACAGCAGATTTTTGTTTTAAATTCTGTAATACACATGAATTTTTTCCAGCTATGCCATAGTTAAGGGGTTAATTACTCCTCTGAGGCAATGCATCCCTCATATTTGCACTACAGGTGGATCTTAACCACAACGCGTCTCCACTTTTTACTTATTTGTGATCCTTTTCACCTGACTACAGGTACTATATACTGCTTATTTTAGCAGTCTCTGTATTAATACTGAAGAAGCCACTTATTGCAAAATGTTTCCTCACTAAATGTTTTAAACTGTGCATAAGTATCCTTATTCACATTCTTTCGACTGCGCCATACCTGTTCTCCAACCAAAATATTTATCAGTAAATCAATCACGACATCAACCACAAGACTTAAAATTAAAACACAGCATCAAAATAACTGGCATATTGGTATTACTGACTTGGCAATTATTTTGTAAATAAAGTTTCATTGTAAATCAACCTTCACTAACAAGCTGAAAATAAATATCAGCTTCTAATATCAAACACAATGTTCTCATCCCTTAGAATATAATACAATAATTATATGAGACTTCAAAAATCACAATAAGACTATGATCAGGCCAATATCACACAGTTAATTTCTACATAATAACTTGCATTCACAACCAAATTTAGCAACAAAAGTTGCATATTTCCTGTACTTGATAAAGCCTCTTGTAGGCAAAACATTGTAACAATGATAAGAGGTTTTAAGCTATATTATCTTTGTCCACCATTTAAATGAAAAGCACAATTATAACATTCATTCACTCATTAATGAGCATCTTGTTAAGATGTTGTGAAAAATCATACATAATCATTTGTAGTCTAGCAAGTTTCATGGCAGTAGTTTTTCAGTCTATAATGTACAATGAACACTCACATTGAATACCATCACAATGGCATCTATTTACTAAGTGTGATAACATCAGCTCTTGGTGATGCCGAGTACACAGCAGCAGATGGCGGTGGGAAGAACTTGGAGTCCAATGTGACAAAGGCTTTCCACACAGTCAACTAGAGCTGGTTACTTCATACTCTGCATTTAATCTTTTTAAATCTCTGAAAAAAAAAAGAAAAACATATATAATTCATATACTGTACCATATTCCGGCCTCAGGCTGGAATGAGATGGAACTGTTGAAACATTACACAGGAAAGGTAATAAAACAAACATTTTACCAAAACTAAACAAATTAAAAATCAGGTTGATAAACATGTTATGCAAGATGACATCATTAAACAAGCAGTATTAGTCCTTAAAAAGAATGGCCAGAACTGTGATGCCCTTGTATGAGTGAACTTGAAAGAGTGAAGGAATTATTTTTACTTAGTGGGCTTAAGAGCATCTAAAAATATTACTAGGAGGACAATAATTTAGTGTTTATCACACAGCTCACCTCTTATCGACAGCATCCATGAGGTGCCTAGCATTAAGGGAAGAAAGGCAGATTTTTAATGTTGTCCAGATGTTATCAGACACTGCTCGTGAAGATTCCTTCCCACCTGGTCCTCTCCCCGCCGCCTGCATGTTTAGTGCCTCTAAAAAGTGCTCCATTGCTTCCCTGCAAACAAATTCTTTTATCCCTGAAGGTAATTTTTTAAACACATTGGCCATTTACCACAAAGGTAAAGTGACCGAAAAGAAATGCATTAACTTATTTTCACACACTGACTCCAGTCTCTTTGTATTTCATCTTACCTGGCACAGGAGATATCATGAACACTTACCTCTCCAGGTATACTGCAGCACTCACCAATGACATATATACTAGGGTGCATCAAATGATCCATCTTTTTAAATTGGTTTGGGACTTCTATCCCTATTTGGTTAACCAATCAATTAAAAGTAAATTTGTAGTTAATTTTTTTTTTTCAAAAAATACTGAAATCACAATATAATTTCACAGTTAATACTGTTCCCAACTCGAACAATTTGGTATTTGAAAGCTTTGTTGCATAAAAAATTCGCTTGGTGGTTGACCGTTTGCTCAGCACTCGATCACACAAACACCACCTGCCAGAACTTTGCTGTAAACTATTTAGTGTTTCTTCCCATATTTTGGTGTTTTTTGTATTCTTTGTATAAATAAGTCAACATGGGGCCTAAGAAGATTAGTGATAACAGCCAACCATAAGGAATAATTTACATTATTCCTTATGGTTGGCTGGAACAATTTACATTATTCCTTATGGGAAAAATTTGTTTGGTACTCAAACAGATCAGCACTCGAACAGCCTTCTGGAACAAATTAATTTCAAGTACCAAGGTACTACTGTACATGGTGATTACTGTAAAACATAAGTTACTAGTAGGAAAATGAAAATGCAGTTATTTACAAGTTGCCAATGTTTTGCTGCAAACCATTATGCAGAGTAATTTGTTATAAAAAAGTCCAAGTTAAATAACAGTAGTTACAAATAGTACTACAACTGTTTTGCCTTTTGCTTCTGCTTGTGCAGGCTTTGTCATTTTTGTCACCCTTATGGCCAGAGATGAACCCCCTATATAAATTTAGCAATCAGAAATAATTGGCAGGATTCATAGTGAAAGAAGAGGGAACATTACAAACTTAGGGACAATGAAGTTTCTTTGATGCACCCCAATACATACATATGATGTCAACACACATTTACCATCAATCAATCAAATGCTGTACCTGTGGGCTCCAAGGTTGATGCAAGAAATACCAAGATTGTATCGACATCTAATAAAGCCCGGAGAAATTTCTAAAGCATTACGATAAGCATCAATGGCTTCCTCAGAACGTTCACTGTTGGCTAGTGTAGCGCCCAATTTGTTCCATAACTTGGCATCCTGTAAAGGAAAGGCTAGATGAAAACTAATTCATAAAAAACTGTTGACCAATAGAATTTATTGAATATAATGATAATACTGTAATAATACTGTACTACAAACACTTCTAACAATAATAATTACTTTATAAAAAGGTACAATATAATTTTTTTAAGCATACAGCCGGCTCCTACCAAGGCAGGGTGATGTGTACGTATAAATAATATTTTCAGTAAAAGGCATATCTCAAATTTGGAACCATTTAAATGGGAATATGGAGCATAACCTTAATTTTGCAACTGGCCTTAATTTTAGGGGTTATTTAAATAAATATCTTCCTAACCAATACCTATCCAATGTCCCTAGTTACCCAGTATCTAAATCAATATTCTTGTTCTATCAAAAAGAATCAAAGATGAATTTTGCTTGTTTAAAATATTTTGGGAGTGGACGTGTCAGCGAATGGGTCTATGAAAGATGAGGTGAATCATAGAATTGATGAGGGGAAAAGGGTGAGCGGTGCACTTAGGAGTCTGTGGAGACAAAGAACTTTGTCCTTGGAAGCAAAGGGGGGAATGTATGAGAGTATAGTTTTACCAACGCTCTTATATGGGTGTGAAGCATGGGTGATGAATGTTGCAGTGAGGAGAAGGCTGGAGGCAGTGGAGATGTCATGTCTGAGGGCAATGTGTGGTGTGAATATAATGTAGAGAATTCGTAGTTTGGAAGTTAGGAGGAGGTGCGGGATTGCCAAAACTGTTGTCCACAGGGCTGAGGAAGGGTTGTTGAGGTGGTTCGGACATGTAGAGAGAATGGAGCGAAACAGAATGACTTCAAGAGTGTATCAGTCTGTAGTTGAAGAAAGGCGGGGTAGGGGTCGGCCTAGGAAAGGTTGGAGGGAGGGCGTAAGGAGGTTTTGTGTGTGAGGGGCTTGGACTTCCAGCAGGCATGCGTGAGCGTGTTTGATAGGAGTGAATGGAGACAAATGGTTTTTAATACTTGATGTGCTGTTGGAGTGTGAGCAAAGTAACATTTATGAAGGGAATCAGGGAAACTGGCAGGCCAGACTTGAGTCCTGGAGATGGGAAGTACAGTGCCTGCACTCTGAAGGAGGGGTGTTAATGTTGCAGTTTAAAAACTGTAGTGTAAAGCACCCTTCTGGCAAGACAGTGATGGAGTGAATGATGGTGAAAGTTTTTCTTTTTCGGGCCACCCTGCCTTGGTGGGAATTGGCCAGTGTGTTAATAAAAAAAAAAAAAAATTATAAATAAAATTTCACCAACTAGTTAGAAGGCTAAATGTATATTGTATATAACTGCTTTATTACAATAACATACCAGTGAGTGATACAAGAAGTTGCACCACTGAGTAAGGGATTGCTGTAAGTGTCTGGATGCATGAACATATAGAAGCAGGAAGACAATGAAAGAGGTGAGCACTGATTTCTAGCAATGATTGCTCCTAGCTAAGTGTAATGTGTATTCAATAGTGTAATTGCTTTTAGACACTGCACACCATTCTGCAGGGGTAACAAGACATTCTGGTTAGCATGCACATGTATACAAATAATAACCTGCAGTAAGGAAGGTAAGGCCAGTGTGGATAAGTCTTACCTTGGGACGAACACTTAATGATGCATTGAAGCAATCAATGGCTTTTTCATATTCTCCTGTAAGGTTGAAGAGCACCCCAAGTCCACATTGGACATCTGCATCTATGTTCTCACCAGGCCGTTGGTTAGCTGCTGCAATGTATAAATCCTGCACTTCTTGTATTAATTCTCTGTAAGCAAGAAATGCACCTTTATTAAATGTAGATATAACAGCTACTTGTTATTTATTTTTTAATACTCCAGCTGTCTCCCGCTGAGATAGGGTGACCCAAGAAAGAAGAAAACACTTTTCACTGTTACTCAATCACTGTCCTGCCAGAAGTCTGATGACAGAACAATTCAGAAGATCCCCCAAACTTCAACATCCCCACCTTGCTTTCAGGGTGCAGGCACTGTATTTACCACCTCCAGGACTTTAGTCTGGTTAACCAGTTATCCTGAATCCTGAATCAGGTTTTTTTTATGTTTTATAAAATTAACTGCAACATACAAGTGAAATGCAAGATTTTTAAAAAAACAAATATGTGGTGTGCTACTAAGTTTGAGTAGGAATAATTGTATATCACATTTCTAGATAGGACTGAGTAGAGACAAGTGGTTTTTTAATGAATATGCTGTTGGAGTATGAAAAGGGGAACTTTTATGAAAGCATGCAGGGGAAACAGGTTAGTCAGTTAAGTCCTGGAGGTGGGAAGTGCCTGCACTCTGAAGGAGAGATGAGGATGTTGCAGTTGGATGGTTAATCTGATTGTGATGCTTGCACCCTTCTGGAAAGATGAGAACCAGGTGAATGTTTTCTTCTTTGGGTCACCCTGCCTTGGTGGGAGGTGGCCAGTGCACTAAAAGCAACAACCAGAATGTTTGTTTTTTACTATATTGTCACTTACCACCAATGCAGGGTGACCCAAAGGAGGATACACATTTACAGCACTCATATAATTGTTATTTTGCAATAAGTTCACAGACATTACAATTCAAATGACTCTCTGAACTCCAACATATCACACTCATCCTTGAGAATGCAAACACTGTACAGTGGACCCCTGGTTCGCGATGCTATCAGTATCCGATAAATCCGGTAACCGATGCACTATATCGCAGAAAATTTGCCTCGCTTCCCGATACAAAACCCGGTATGTGATGTGGTTCAGTACGAGACGTGTCCATGTGTGGCCTGAACTGCCCGTGTGTGCCAGTGTTTACAAGCCAGCCAGTGTGCGCTCATCTAAGGATACATTCGGTACATTCCATATTATCCATATTATCACTGTTTTTGGTGCCTGTTTTTGCAAAATAAGTCACCATGGGCCCCAAGAAAGCTCCCAGTGCCAACCCTTTGAGACCAAGGGTGCTAATGACTGTTGAAATGAAGAAAGAGATAATTGCAAAGTACGAAAGTGGAGTGTGTGTGTCGGAGCTGGTCAGGTTGTATAGTAAACCCCAGTCAACCATCTCTACTATAGTGAGCAAGAAAACGGCAATCAAGGAAGCTGTTCTTGCAAAAGGTGCAACTGTGATTACAAAACAGCGACCGCAAGTGTTAGAAAATGTTGAGAGACTGCTATTGGTGTGGATAAATGAAAAACAGATAGCAGGAGATAGCATCTCTCAAGCAATCATTTGTGAAAAGGCTAGGCAGTTGCATGACGATTTGGTAAAAAAATTGACTGCAACTAGTGGTGATGTGAGTGAATTTAAGGCCAGCAAAGGTTGGTTTGAAAGATTTAAGAATCGTAGTGGCATACACAGTGTGATTAGGCATGGTGAGGCTGCCAGTTATGTTGTGCGACAGAGGTCCAGTGACTCTCAAGCTGGTCCTAGTGGCATTAAAAGAAGAAGGAAAGTAACCCCAGAAAAGGACTTGCTACCTCAAGTCCTAATGGAGGGGGATTCCCCTTCTAAATGCTAACACCATCCACACTGTCCCCTCCTCCCATCCCATCAATCATCACCAGATCTTCATTAAAGGTAAGTGTCAATTATTCTTTCGTTATTTATTGTTATTTATTGTTATTGTTGTTATTGTAATTACTATTCTATTGCATTAAACTTAATATTTCATGTGGTAAAAGTTTTTTTTTCATACTTTTGGGTGTCTTGCACGGATTAATTTGGTTTCCATTATTTCTTATGGGGAAAATTATTCGCCTTCCGATATTTTTGGTTTACGATGAGCTCTCAGGAACGGATTAGTATCGCGAACTGGGGGTCCACTGTATTTCCCACCTCTAGAATTCAAGTCCAGCTAACTGGTTTCACTGATTCACTTTGTTAATGTTTCTCTGCTCACACCCCATAAGCAATACATTGTTCACACTCCAAGAAAGAAAAAGACTGGAAAACAACGAAGCTTCATGCCATGCACAATATATAACTAATGAAATTATGTGACAATCCAAGTTGTTACAAGTGAAGCATCAGAAATAGATATGCTGTACTTGCACAACCTTTAGAATGTAACAAAAATTAAATGAGAAATACCAGAGTTACTGAATGAAAGTTACTGAGAATATAAAGGTTACATTTGGATGCTGAAAAGAGACAACAGATAACTACAAGGTTTTAAAACAGATGTGGTGCATAAACATGATTACTTGAATACATTAGTAATAAATATAATACAACCTGGGAGCTAAAGTAGTTGCCATCAACCTTGGTTTTCTATGTATTGCTTCATCATTGATGGGTAACGAATGATTGTATTCTGGATTAACTCGGATCCATTCCTAAAAAGAAAAAAAAAAAAAAGACAAGAGAGAGAGAGAACAAGACACACTTAAATTAATGAGTAATTTATCGAAGTCTACATAATAAGTAAAATTTTATACTTTACATAATTACCAGTTTCTGTGTTCAGAAAGAGCTATCTTTTTATGACATTAGTAGAGGGCTCTCTTTATACAATCACTTTCTACCTAAACATCTGTGTTCTACTGTTTTCTGCAGGGACTTGAGCACTAGTCAGTAGTCATTGTCAGTTGAAAAAAGAGCTTATCCTGGTTAATCATAATTGAGAAGTTTATAAGATTGTTCCTCCAGACTGAAGGATGACAGACATGCCATCTCAACCTTGATATTCGTCATGGAAATAAATAGTTATATAAACCTAGGGTACTTTTCTCGAGGAACTTCTCCAAGAAAAATACTTGCTCAGTGCCTGCCTGGAAGTTTTGCAGATTTTGCTGTGAGCAAATTGGGCACCTCACAGGTTTGGGCCATAGCTACACTCTCTACAAGAATGATACCAACTCTGACATTACTACTTATGTTCCCATATCATGCCACCTATCATACAAATTTAAGACTTAAGTATACTAAATCAAACTTACCTTTAATGAATTGCATGCAAGAGTCTGGTAGGATTCATTAGTGTAGGATGTTGCAAGAGCCATCCAAGCAACACTGTTATTGGGATCAATTTCAACGCATCTGTAAGAAGAAAACTATTTGAACATCCAAGTCACTGTGAAAACACTGATGCTATTAGCGTTGTTATTTCTGACATAAAGTAGTTTTCTGACCTTAATTAATTCTCTGGGTTTTAAAATTTCATATGTTTAAATTTTTGATCAAGAATTTTTGGCAAAACAAAATACTGTACCATAGCTAAAGTAGAAGTGAAAACAAAAACAGTTTTAACATAGAATGATAAGAGTAAGTCTACAACATACAGCTATGTGTTCATCAGTATACAAAATATAAATAATGCTTAGTCATATTTATCTTCCACTAACTTGCAATGCTTAATTTTCATTGACTTCTGTAGTTACAGTGCACACTGTAGAGGGAATGCTTGCATCACAAACATCTTGCATACACACACAAAATAATGAATTCATCTGTAGCATCTACCTTTCTCAGCAACAAGCCAGCTCTCTCAAAATAATTGTTGATATTCAGTTATCTAGCAGGGTGCTCACTAAACTGGTCCCATTTTCATTAACATCATATAACCTACAATTGTAATCCCCCAAACTCGTATATATGTATTATATGTCTAGTAAACATACAATGACATATGTAAATGTTAAGTTTCAAATTGTTTCACCTGTGAAAAGCAATGGATGTACAGTATTTAGTTAAGATCACTGATGTGTTATCACCAAATAATTTTTCTTTTTCTTTAATCTTTGCACACTTGAATCAAAGATTTATTAAAACTCTCCAAATAGTCGTTAAATCATCTGAAAACTGTTACCTGAGCTAATGAAGTAAACGTCAGAGCAGCAGTGGTGCTGGTTATTGAGGGCCAAGAAAGCTATTCACTATAATACATGTACTTTGAACCAAGGATGAGGGATTGATTGTATTTCCTGATGTTTCTAAATCCTCTGAAAAGCCTGAACTGTCAAAATATTAACATTCACTGAAACACAGAGAATTCCTCGTTTCTCAAATACAATTAGGATCTCATCAATTCAGCAAGGCTTCGACTTGATAAGAGTCCAGGATATTAGAGATTGTCTAATGTTTCCTCTCTAAAGTTCAGCTTGGGTATTTGTGTATGGCTGTATTAGATCAAATAATTACAAATTTACTTTAAACATCACTTTCAGATAATCAATTAACACAAGGTGACCCCACTCAAACACAATTGTAAAAATATGTACCGCTTTATGGATTAGAGAACCCCTACTGTCTTTCCTGTTCTTTATATTTTATTCTTCCCAAATATTCAGTTACATACCAAACATTTCACATACATACAGCAGGCACGTGCAAGCTAACTAGATCGGGGTGATTGAAGACAAGTGGTGTTAAGGGGTGTTACATGTTGTTGGAATGTGAGCACTGTAATATTTATGAAAAGATTCAGGGAAGTCAATCAGCTATCTTTGAGTCCTGGAGGTGGGAAGTATAGTGCCTGCACTCTGAAGGAGGGGTGGGAATTTTACATTTCAGAGGGTCATTTGATTTGCGATATCTGCTTATTTGTGGTAAAAGAACTGTTGAATGAATGAAGGTAAAATTTCCACTTCAAAACTCGATATACTCGCAGGCAGTGCAAGGTTTCCTTTTGTAAAAAAAAAAAAAAAAAAAAAAAAAAAAAAATGAAAAATATGGTTGTAAGTTTATGAAAGTGTACATAACATTAAGAACTTAACATGATTGTGTAACTCTGGTTCCTAGATCACAAATTTAATAAAGACTTTTAAGTCAGATGTAAACCTAAAATGAATTATTTGGAAAGAGTAAACAAACAAATAAACAAAACTAACCTTCTGAGAGCTGAAATTGCTGAGGGATCTTGTTCATTCTCTGCATGAGTTACCCCGAGCAGCAGCCAGGCTTCAGCATTCTCAGGGCTCTGCTGTGCTGCTGCCTCAAACAATAACACTGCTGAGGGAAGATCACCTGCTTCTAAGCACCGCTTGCCTTCACTCAGTGGGTCAGGATGGTCTTTCAATGGATTATCCTCCTCAAACTGGTAATTCTGTTTGGGAGTGATTACAAATATTTTTCTTAAGGATTTTTTAAGAGCAAAATAAAGTTAGGAAAGATTCATCTTATATTATAAACTTTTTTTTTTTTTTCAACAAGTCGGCCGTCTCCCACCGAGGCAGGGTGACCCAAAACAAAGAAAGAAAATCCCCAAAAAGAAAATACTTTCATCATCATTCAACACTTTCACCACACTCGCACATTATCACTGTTTTTGCAGAGGTGCTCAGAATACAACAGTCTAGAAGCATACACATATAAAGATACACAACATATCCCTCCAAACTGCCAATATCCCAAACCCCTCCTTTAAAGTGCAGGCATTGTACTTCCCATTTCCAGGACTCAAGTCCGACTATATGAAAATAACCGGTTTCCCTGAATCCCTTCACTAAATATTACCCTGCTCACACTCCAACAGATCGTCAGGTCCCAAGTACCATTCGTCTCCATTCACTCCTATCTAACACGCTCACGCACGCTTGCTGGAAGTCCAAGCCCCTTGCCCACAAAACCTCCTTTACCCCCTCTCTCCAACCCTTTCGAGGACGACCCCTACCCCGCCTTCCTTCCCCTATAGATTTATATGCTTTCCATGTCATTCTACTTTGATCCATTCTCTCTAAATGACCAAACCACCTCAACAACCCCTCTTCTGCCCTCTGACTAATACTTTTATTAACTCCACACCTTCTCCTAATTTCCACACTCCGAATTTTCTGCATAATATTTACACCACACATTGCCCTTATAAACAGTTTTTATAATATATACACAGTGTATATTTGTTAATACTCTCTATATAGTTGCATTTATATGCACCTTCTTCAGTGATAGTATCATGATTCGGTATCCAAATGCTCAAACTGCCTCAAATTATTTCCATCTTACCTTAAATGGCTCAAAAGCAGTGGAGTTGAATTCAGAAAGCCATGGATGCTCCGTTAGTTCATCCTCTCTGGCCATTTTTTCCCACTCATCTTGTAAATTTTGCCAAAAATCTTCCTTTTCTTTTGTGCTCATAGTTTCACTATCAATAGTCATATTGTCCAGTGATCCTGTAAGAAAGAAGCAACTTTAACACTACCTGAGCTACACAGTCAAACTGTTTCCTTGCTTTTAACCAAACTAAATTATTTAAGTCAAATGATTTGTAGTTTGGAATGGCATTTGAACTGCAGTATCGATATGCCTCTGGCAAGACAGCGATGGAGTGAATGATGAAGAGTGTTTCTTTTTTTTTGGTTTACCCTGCCTCAGTGGGAGACAGCCAGTGTGTTAAAAAAAATATAGACACTGTGGGAATAAACAACAATTATAATGCATTAACAAAAGGTGAGATTTCTAAATTGAATGACATCTTCAAATTATTACATCTGGTAACTTTCTTACAGGGACTGCTAGTTAATATTACTTTTTCTTTTAGCACACTGGCCATCTCCAACTGGGGCAGGGTGATCAAAGAAGAGGAACCACAGCCATAATTAATTCTCATCATTATGAATACTTAGTTAATATTACATTTGCATTTACTTATAACTTATATAAATGCCTGCAGAAAACTCCTGTGATGGAATTACATTTCCAGGTTTTAATCTCTGAGTGTAGCCTTACCTAGTTGCTTAGCAAATTCTTCTCCCCAGCGCTCGTGTGGTTGTCGACGTTCCTTGATAAATTCAGCACTCCAAGACTCGGCTAGACTTCCTGCCTCCTTTGAATTTGATGTTAGGAATTCCTCACTCCAATCTTTATTAGTATCAGTTTTGGCTCCTTCTCCTAATATTTTAATAAATGACATGAACTGAAAAAATATATGAAAAATTAATTAATTATATTTCTATTACAGTAAGTACTATAATTAAGTCTTCTATACAAGAGTTGCTCCAGGTAATAACACGAGTAAAACCATACCATAATACAAAAATAAACAAAAATAGTCTCTATTTAATAAATAAAAAAGAAGAAAACAGTTATCTTTTATGGATAGTGAAAACAGTCTAACACCAATGAAGAGAGACTTTCTCTTTTAGATAATATTTTGAAAAGAACAGATGAGTGGGATGTGGTTGGTGAGCTACTTAATGTGTTGGTTCTACTAACCTCTGTGTTGGAGAATTTGGGATCATCAACTGTTCCTAAGAGCTCATTAGCTGTTCTAGCCAGTTCTGAATCCTCCTGAGGGTTATATTCCTCTACCCATTTGCTGGCCTCTGCACTGGCTGCTTCATCTCTGTAAATAAAAGCCATAATGAATCTGGTCTGATAGATGTCAGGTACAATAACCAGATTGTTTTGTTCTAGAAACTACAGCACTCAAGGCACACTGATAAACAAATACTAAGTGCCAACTGGTTCCCCAACCCATCCTCTAATTTTTTTAGTGTCTTCTGAATGAAAGCTATTGCTCTAAATTATGACAATACACTCCCTTACTGCTAAACATAAGCCACCAGTTTTTATATCATAAATGTTGGTTAATTACACATAAATGTAGGTTAATATACATTAACCTAACCTAACTATGAATGACAGGCATTGCAATACTTTTCAACATACCACCTGAAACTTTCCCAAATTTCTTCAAAATAGCTAGGAACACCTATCCACAATGGTTTAGTAACATATGACATAAGCAGTTATACAAAAAAGGAAAACAAATAAGATTAATTTAATTATCTTAAAACTTAAAGAACCTTTAGTAATAAAGCCAGAACTTACAAGAGAGTTTCACTGAGGTACTCATGAGCCCATCGTGTGTCACTGTCAGGTATAATATCTGGAGAGGTAAGGCCATGTTGTTGTTCTAGAAACTCCTTCGTCCAGTCTCCTCCTGGACCAATCTCCTAATTGTAGAGAGAGATTCATGTTTAGTAACTCTAAAAAACCTACCATATAACACTATTCTAAAATTGTGAAAGCATTTTTTTGGGGTGGGGGTAGGGGAGGGGGGGCCACCCTGCCTCAGCAGATGATCAGCAGGTACCCAGCTAATAACACATTAGTGCAACCAACAGTACTGATTAAATTTGCTTGCAAGAATGTGGACTATACAATGGAGAACCTTCCTCAAAGTTGCCTGGACATGCATAGCATTTGATTTTAAATCAATTTAATAAATATCTGCACACCTACATACACAGTAAGTTTTTGAGAAATTTCCTTTCCCATGCAAATCTTTGAATTGCAATACAGACAGACCCCACTTTATAGTACTTTGCTTTACAGCATTTCACTAATGCAGCAGTCTTCAATTATACCCATTTTTCATTTATTCAGACTTCCTACAATAAATGTAGTCTCCACTCACTATAAGCTTAGGATGAAAATATTTTAAGGTAAGCAATGTGTGTAATGCTTATGCATTTTTTAGGCTTAGCTATATTTCTCACTTAATATATGATAGTGTATGCTGGTTATCAGGCTTTTATATGCTTTTGAAAGTGAAAAAAAAAAGGCTATGATTCACTTTACAGTGATTTTTACTTTACAGCTGTACCCCAGAACCTAACCTGCTATATAAGAGGGGTCCTCCTGTATCAAGAATGGTAAGATTAATTCAGTGAGAGTTTAGAAAGCAGGGACAAGAGGTCAAAACAAGACTACCAAGTGCCTACAGAGAATATTTTGACCATAAAAATTTTATTTTAACCCTTAAATGGTCCAAACGTATATATATGTTTTTTCAACATCTGAAAGTATGTAAAAAAATGTAGATCTTCTTTTTTGTTTTACATTTGAAAACGAGTAAAAAAACTTTTATCTGCATTTTTTTTTATATATTTGAAAATATGTAAAAAAAAGTAGATCTACTTTTGTAGCACTACGAATTTGAACGTCGATTTCTTTGGACCGTTTAAGGCTTAAAGCAAGTCTGATGAATGAACTGACAATATATCATAAATGATTATAATGAATGACAACGAAGAAGTCTGGAAGGAAAGAATTAGGAGTCGTCATGACCTTCCATGCATTTCTTATTGTACAAAATAAATCATGGTACATTATGTACAACTATGAACAGAAAACAAGCAAATAATAATGCACTGTATTTTGTATTGCATTTGTTGAAAATCCTAATTGTTCATGTTCTATATGTGGAAAATTATATTTTGTATAACATATGGAAAAATGTTTTCATCCACAGCTTACCTGAACATGTGTCTCAGATGCAAGGTATTCCTCTGCCCAGTTACTTGCCTCTGAGGCTAGGTCAGCAATGCCTGGACCTCTCATGGGTCCTGTCCTGGCTCGCATGCTCTCTATTTCTCGCATCTCCTGAAGAAACACTTGGGCTTATTAGTCTCTTAACATTATTCTGATGTAGCACAACAAAATTTACAAATCTTTCGAGTACTTTCTGCTAACACAGAAATGGAAAAATAATTATTGCTTATTTTCTTATAAATAGTAATTAATTGATAGTAATAATTAAGTTGACAGTAGTAATTAATTTGATGACTCACGAAATCGTAATGACACAATTGCAAACAAACCATACCACGGGCGGGGATAGAACCCGCGATCAGAGAGTCTCAAAACTCCAGACCGTCGTGTTAGCCACTGGACCAGCTAGCCACAATAAGATTCGTCCAATTAAGTATATATCTACACCACAGGAAGGTTAGCATAAGCACCACTGTGACCACAAATGCAAGTTTTTACAGACGAATCTCCAACGTGGCCATGACGAACTCTAGCTCAAGTCCCCTCAAAGCCGTTAACATGACTCATGAAATCGTAATGACACGATTGCAAACAAACCATACCACGGGCGAGGATAGAACCCGCGATCAAGAGTCTCAAAACTCCAGACCGTCGTGGCTAACGAGACGGTCTGGAGTTTTGAGACTCTCTGATCGCGGGTTCTATTAATTTGATATTATTACTGTTCATTATATGGAGATAGGCTATAAATATAAATGAAACGATCTCTCTATCTTACAGATACATTTCATTCCTACAGGCTAATTGATTGAACAATATATGGGGGAGCAAGTAAGATTAAGTTAGATAGACTTAGGCTGGTCTGGAGGGTGCGTGATGCACTCCATGTCACCCAATGTAAGGTAACATTTTCCTGTGGTGCTTGGATGTATACCCCAAAGCCCTAGTAAATACCCAAGGGACAGTGGTGCTGATTAGGGGAAGTGATTTCTTGTGGATTATGCTAACAATGTGATTAACCTGGGGTGTAACTAGGGTGTCTGCTCTGGTGACAGATAACAGGGTTAGAGCCAGACAAAATACTTAAATTAAAAATGGCACCTCCAGCTGTATACTGTGTCAAATTAATGTGAGCTTATTAAGTTGTATCTTGGTGTAGTGTAAACTTGAGGTGTAATTATGTAGTGAACTATTTATATTTTACATCTCAATGTTCATTTCTAATATTCATGACAACTGTATAATAACAGATTCAATATTTTTATATACAGTACAGTAAAATCCTATTATTTAATTCCTGACATATTTAAAATAATAATACGAATTACATTTAAAATGAAACTCGGAATAATTTGCAAAACAATAAGAATAACCTGCAAGAGGGAGTCCATTCTGAATGCCTGCGGTGCTGCTGTAGCTGCTTGCTGGGTTTCACTCATGAACTCCTCAACTAGTTGGTCCCCTACCACAGCAGGCCCATACTGTGCTTTAAATACTCCTTCAGTTTACAAAGACAAAAATAAAATACTCCAGTCAGTTTAGTACTAAAGAGTTCATTATTCTTATTCTGAAAAGCAAGGAGAAAGTCCAAGAAGTCTTTTTTTAGCAAAGGAGAGCCCAGTTTTTTTTTATATGGCCAATTTTCTAAATCTGATGAGAGTTGTTGGTTTTAAGCCAATATGTTGGTGTATGGAATATAATGATACATACTATCTCAAGAACATTTACACAAAATACCTTTATATTCTTCATACCATTACCTTGAAGCCATACCATGCATTGTATAATTATTTAGCTTTCTGTCCAATCTGTTAATGTACATAATTAAAAAAAAATGAATTTGAGTTATACAGACTAATAAGATAACCAGGTTAAAAATTTTTATAGTACAATTTTCTTTTTGGGGATTTTCTTTCTTTTTGGGTCACCCTGCCTCGGTGGGAGACGGCTGACTTGTTAAAAAAAAAATTCAATGGTTTACAAAAAAGCCTGCATATTTAAAAAAGTTTGTGTACACATTTTTAGGACACTGTAATACATTAAAAACAGATTAAATATATGTACCAAAATTTTATATGGCTGATTCCTGTTAAAAAATCTTGAGCCACAAAATTAAATGGAGATCACTGAAGATATTAAGTGAAGTAAGGGGATGTTGGCAGTGAAAATGGTCTACATTCACTAATTCATTGTTACACTAGTGTCCAGGTTATTTTTATTATTATCATGGGGGAGACTAGTGTCCAGAGGACACCCCATAACACCTAAAACTACAGTTTAGCAGCAGCACAAACCCATAACTATGCAACACAATAATCATCCAATATTTATTTGCATTTTTATTAAAAAGTATTAAATAAACTTACCCTGTGTTGGAGGACGACCCTGAGGCCATCGCAGGCCCTCATCTGCCAGTGATTTGTCACGTGTAACATGGTGAGTGAGGCGAACAAGGGCATTTCCCTCACCACACTGGGCATCAACCAGGTTACGCAAGGCCATAATTAAGTTTGTTTCTGACGACTAGTTTCCTGTAAATTCATAAAAGATATTTAACAAAGTATACTCACATTACCATGGTATTTTAAAAAAAAATGATTTCATATTTATTTCAGCAAGAGAAACCTAATGTTATGGGGTGACCACCTGCCCTGCCTCAACAAGTATTGTGGGAGCCACCTGCCCAGCCTCACAGTGTTGTCTGAACCACCTGCCTTGCCTCAATGTTGCAGGAACCATTTGCCCTGCCACATAGTAGTGGGAATCACCTGTCCTGCTTCAAAGCTTGAACCACTTCCCTTGTTTGAACTTGTGGGAACCTGCATGCCCTTCCTCACCTAGTGTTATAGGTGACCACCTACCCTGCCTCATCTAGAGTTGTGGGTGACCTACCCTGCCTCACCTAGTATTGTGGCAATCACCTGCCCTGCCTCTCCTTGTGTGAACCACCCGCACTTCCTCAGCTGTGAACCACTTGTACTTCCTCACTTACTGTCGTGAACCACCTGCCCTGTTTCACATTGTTGTGAGCCACCTGCCCTGCCTCTTCCACCTCAGAAAACCCAACCTAAGGCTTGACACGTGCTGCTTCTGGGGGCATGCTAACGGCAGTGCCTCGGGCAGTTGCAGGGCAGTGTGAGGGAGCCATTTTCACCCTCAATATACGACAAATAAAGATGCTAATGAGAGGGTTGAGGAGGAGGAGGTGAGGCTGAGGGAGGTAGGGCAGCTGTCTTCAGCCTCTCATACCCAGTCTCCACCTTCTCTGCTTATTTCTTCCTCAAACAAACCTTGATTTACCCCACCTTCGGCTTACCTTCTCGCACAGAGTCGCCAGGAAGTGGACGGTGGCGTGTGGTTTCCCTACAGCAATTAGTAATTCATCAATCGCAGGAATATTCTTCAGCAAAGGTGGTAATTTTGTGCATTCCATCAAACCCCAGACCGCGTTCGGGCTCTCCACACTTTATTTACACTCTGTTTATTCTAACTTGTAGTTCATTTTCTACTTAAACATATTGCAAGATTGCCCAGGTTTAACATCCTCCAAAAAAATCTTCTCATTTTTAAATAATTGCCTTCGAATAATGTGGGCGACGTGCATTGCATATGCTTTTACAAGCAGACATATATCAAGAGTTAGGGTAGTGAGTGAGGTTCCATCAATATGATGGTGCCAGCCCCAGGCACCAGCACAGTACATCACTATGTGCTACACTATGTCTATCATTCTTCTCATCTATTTGAACATTATTCTCTTTTCCATGAGCGTTAATCAACATGACTATAACAACGAGACTTGGCTGGGTGTTTGTAATACTCCTAGCGCCAGATAACACGGCAAATAATATCAGCGAGGCATCTGAAAGTTATACCTATCTGAGGAAGACTGTTCTATTAACCCAGCAGGATTACTAACTCAGAATAACCTATTAAACCTAATCATTGTGGTTTATTTCCACTGGGATCCATTTTATGTCCTCCCCGGGATGCGACGCACAGCAGGCGACTGACTGATAATTGCTAGGTAACGGGCAGCAGGTGTTAGGAAACTTGCCCATACGTCCCGCCTGGTGTGGGGTTCGACCCCACGTCCCTTCGATAGTGAACCGAACACACTAACTACTACTCTGCGAGGAATTATAGTGATAAAATGCGTCCAGATAAAATGTGATGGTTGTGGAGGGGAGAAGCAGCACTGCATGGCCTGCTCTCTCTCACTACACAACGTTCAACACTTACTATGGACAACTGTATATCACACACAAACAAATATCTATCAAATTATTTTTAAGATTCCTTCAACTGTGCCATTATACACTAGTTCCAGTCACTATGGGTTCCCTTATCTCTTTTACAACGTCCAAAGCTAGTTTTCATGCTAATTTTCTCAACGTAATCATGTGGAAATGGATGAAATAAATTGTTACAGACAGAGGCTAAAAATGTCTAAATATTATGACAATAACGACACTGGTGCCAGTCTCCTTCACTAACACAAGTTACATTTGACACCAATAGACACATAAGTAACATTTATGCATATATAATGCCACACACTGCCACTGCTGCGTAGATGATGAAGCTACAGTAGTGTTAACACCAGTCTCAGGGAGAGTGATTACTGGTATATACACCCTCCAGGCACAGTCATGCTGGGTCTGCACTACTGTCCTTCCTCAAAAAACATGTTTCCAAGGTATATCTCTCTGTGTATATATTCAAAATTGTCTTTTACTCTAATTTTAGTGATTAAAACATCGTTGACTGGTGGTGTAACAGTTATATACGTGCAGAAGCCTTTGACCAACTGATTCTGCTCTAGGCTAAGAAACTGATCATCTTGTAGGAGCAAGATGACCAGTTTCTGGATGGACTAATTGTATCAAACTTCCTCTCTCCACTTCGTCTACATCGTCTTCCACCAAGGCTGATATGTTCAACGGTGTGATTCATCTCTGTATTTGCCTGGTGAAGCCTGCAGCGCAGGCGTAACGTTTCAGCAACAAAGATTCATAAGAACATAAGAAAGAAGGAACACTGCCACAGGCCCACTGGCCTATGCGAGGCAGATCCACTTCTCCCACCGGCTTAAGACAATGCCTTGACCTAGTGAGGTCAGACACAACACTTAAGGGAGGAGCACGGCACCCTACCTAGTAGCACAAGCTAGTCAGGTCTAACTCATACCCACCCACACCCACTCATGTATTTATCCAACCTATTTTTAAAACTACACAACGTCTTAGCGTCTATGACGGTACTTGAGAGTTTGTTCCACTCATCCACAACTCTATTACCAAACCGGTGATTTCCTATATCCTTCCTGAATCTGAATTTTTCCAATTTAAAGCCATTGCTTCGAGTCCTGTCTATGTTAGATATTTTTAGCACGCTATTTACATCCCCTTTATTAATTTGTTTTCCATTTATACACCTCAATCATATCCACCGTAATTCTACGCCTTTCTATCCTCATAGGGAAGATTTCTGATACATGGGACCAACTTTGTCATCCTCCTTTGTACGTTTTCCAGAGCATTTATATCCATTCTGTAATACGGTGACCAAAACTGTGCAGCATAATCTAAATGAAGCCTAACCAAGGATATAAAGAGTTGAAGAACAACCTGAGGATTTCTATTATTCATACTTCTTGCTATGAAGCCAAGGATTCTGTTAGCTTTATTGCGAGCACTAATGCACTGTTGTCTTGGTTTTAGATTATTATTAACCAGAACTCCTAAATCCTTTTCTGAATCCGTAATATTAAGAACTACACTGTTATCATCACTACTACACTATTATCACCAGCCCGGTGGACTGGTGGCTAAAGCTCCCGCCTCACACACGGAGGGCCCGGGTTCGATTCCCGGCGGGTGGAAACATTTCGACACGTTTCCTTACACCTGTTGTCCTGTTCACCTAGCAGCAAATAGGTACCTGGGTGTTAGTCGACTGGTGTGGGTCGCATCCTCGGGGACAAGATTAAGGACCCCAATGGAAATAAGTTAGACAGTCCTCGATGACGCACTGACTTTCTTGGGTTATCCTGGGTGGCTAACCCTCCGGGGTTAAAAATCCGAACGAAATCTTATCTTATTATCTTATCTTATCACTACTATACTATTATCATCACTACTACACTATTATCCCCACTACACTATTATCATCACTACTACACTATTATCATCACTACTATACTATTATCACCACTACTATACTATTATCATCACTACTACACTATTATCATCACTACTACACTATTATCATCACTACTACACAATTATCATCACTACTATACTATTATCATTACTACTACACTATTATCATCACTACTACACTATTATCATCACTATTACACTATTATCATCACTACTATACTATTATCCCCACTACACTGTTATCATCACTACTACACTGTTATCATCACTAATACACTGTTATCATGACTACTTCACTGTTATCATCACTACTACACTGTTATAGTCACTACTTCGCTGTTATCATCACTACTACACTGTTGTCATCACTACTACACTGTTATCATCACTAATACACTGTTATCATGACTACTTCACTGTTATCATCACTGCTACACTGTTATAGTCACTACTTCGCTGTTATCATCACTACTACACTGTTGTCATCCCCACTACACTGTTATCATCACTACTACACTGTTATCATCACTAATACACTGTTATCATGACTACTTCACTGTTATCATCACTACTACACTGTTATAGTCACTACTTCGCTGTTATCATCACTACTACACTGTTGTCATCACTACTACACTGTTATCATCACTAATACACTGTTATCATGACTACTTCACTGTTATCATCACTGCTACACTGTTATAGTCACTACTTCGCTGTTATCATCACTACTACACTTGTTGTCATCACTACTACACTGTTATCATCACTACTACACTGTTATCATCACTACTACACTGTTATCATCACTACTACACTATTACCATCACTACTTCACTGTTATCATCGCTACTACATTGTTATAGTCACTACTCTGTTCCACAAGGCACAGTACTAGCTCCCATCTTGTTCCTCATCCTCATATCCGACATAGACAAGGATGTCAGCCACAGCACCGTGTCTTCCTTTGCAGATGACACCCGAATCTGCATGACAGTGTCTTCCATTGCAGACACTGCAAGACTCCAGGCGGACATCAACCAAATCTTTCAGTGGGCTGCAGAAAACAATATGAAGTTCAACGATGAGAAATTTCAATTACTCAGATATGGTAAACATGAGGAAATTAAATCTTCATCAGAGTACAAAACAAATTCTGGCCACAAAATAGAGCGAAACACCAACGTCAAAGACCTGGGAGTGATTATGTCGGGGGAAATCTCACCTTCAAGGACCATAACATTGTATCAATCGCATCTGCTAGAAAAAATGACAGGATGGATAATGAGAACCTTCCAAAACTAGGGAGGCCAAGCCCATGATGACACTCTTCAGGTCACTTGTTCTATCTAGGCTGGAATATTGCTGCACTCTAACAGCACCTTTCAAGGCAGGTGAAATTGCCGACCTAGAAAATGTACAGAGAACTTTCACGGCGCGCATAACGGAGATAAAACACCTCAATTACTGGGAGCGCTTGAGGTTTTCTAAACCTTATTCCCTGGAACGCAGGAGGGAGAGATACATGATTATATACACCTGGAAAATCCTAGAGGGACTAGTACCGAACTTGCACACGAAAATCACTCACTACGAAAGCAAAAGACTTGGGCAGACGATGCACCATCCCCCCAATGAAAAGGAGGGGTGTAAATAGCACGTTAAGAGACCATACAATAAGTGTCAGGGGCCCGAGACTGTTCAACTGCCTCCCAGCACACATAAGGGGGATTACCAACAGACCCCTGGCAGTCTTCAAGCTGGCACTGGACAAGCACCTAAAGTCAGTTCCTGATCAGCCGGGCTGTGGCTCGTACGTTGGTTTGCGTGCAGCCAGCAGCAACAGCCTGGTTGATCAGGCGCTGATCCACCAGGAGGCCTGGTCACAGACCGGGCCGCGGGGGCGTTGACCCCCGAAACTCTCTCCAGGTAAACTCCAGGTAAACTACACTGTTATCATCACTACTACACTGTTATAATCACTACTTCACTGTTATCATTACTACTACACTGTTATTACCTGGAGTTTACCTGGAGAGAGTTTCTCCAGGTAATAACAGTGTAGTAGTAATGATAACAGTGAAGTAGTGATTATAACAGTGTAGTAGTGATGATAACAGTGTAGTAATAAAATGTTTGTAGTCATATACACTGTTATGCATAATAGTGTAGTATGTTAACATGTACACTACACTGTTATATCACTACTACACTGTTATCATCACTACTACACTGTTATCATCACTACTACACTGTTATCATCACTACTACACTGTTATCATCACTACTACACTGTTATCATCACTAATACACTGTTATCATCACTAATACACTGCTATAGTCACTACTACACTGTTATCATCACTACTACACTGTTATCATCACTACTACACTGTTATCATCACTACTACACTGTTATGATCACTACTACACTGTTATCATCACTAATACACTGTTATCATCACTACTACACTGTTATCATCACTACTACACTGTTATCATCACTACTACACTGTTATCATCACTACTACACTGTTATCATCACTACTACACTGTTTTTATCACTACTACACTGTTATCATCCACACTACACTGTTATCATCACTACTACAAATATTATCATCACTACTTCACTGTTATCATCACTACTAAAACTGTTATCATCACTACTACACTGTTATCATCACTACTACACTGTTATCATCACTACTACACTATTATCATCACTACTTCACTGTTATCATCGCTACTACACTGTTATAGTCACTACTACACTGTTATCATCACTACTACACTGTTATCATCACTACTACACTGTTATCATC